CGCTCTTCAGATTATGCACATAAATAGTGGCATTGATTGAGCCTGAAGCTATCAAGTAACTCAGCTCTGGCTGGCTCCCATGCTCGTGATGCCAACGAATAGCGTTAATCAGTTTATGATGTTGCTGGATAGTGCAGAGCAACTTCAAGTTTGGCGCCTGAAATATTTCAATTGAGCTGAAATGTGAGAACAACAATGTAAGAAAACCACCAGTCACTAAAAATGGGATTTTTTTTATTATCCGGCATGAGAAGAATGACAGAACATGAAACAGAGTAACTAAAAGAGTTTTTCTTTTCTGGATTCAACTCAAACCCTTGTTTAGTACATCAGCAAAAGTGCGTTTTAACCGTGAGTGGATCCTTGAAAAATCATTTAACATGATGTGGATCCTCCATGCCAAGAGCGGCTAAACCAAATAATAGCAAGGAATACTGTATTATCACAAGTCAAATACACGGGCAGTGAAAGAACAGAGACAAACCAGGGCAACAAAAAGTATGTTTGCTTTGCTACAGTGATTCTAGTCAGGATCAGCACATACACAACTGAAACATACCCATCTTCATTGCCAAGAGCCAAGAGTTTGCCATCTGGTTTCCAGCTGATCTCAGTACGCGCAGGCAGTTTGTGCTGTAGAAAGAAGACACAACTGTTGCCAAAACCTCTTAAATCTCTCTTGCATGCATTCAACAGAGCAAGACTGGCAACTGCACGGAGTTGCAGTCAGTCTGCAAAGTCACAAAAGGGTCCATTGCATTTTGTAGCAGTGACATAAGCTTGAGCAATTAAGGACTGAATGAACTGATGCAAGAACCAGTGGTAATTTTTATCAGTTCAGTGAAATGCCTCAAAGGAGGTCTGTCTGGATTCCAAGAGGACCCTGATGCTTGATCTCCTTATGCTCCTTGGAAAGCCCCAGACATTGCAAGCAAATTCTATCATCTTTCAAAAGAAATCAGTTTACTTGTAATTACTTCTATTCTTTCTAATTCAGATGAAAGCTTACAATTTAGATACCTAAAAATGATTGTTTTGTCGCCTGTGACATTAGTCTCTTAACCCCCAGTAAGTCCTCTACTCAAGGAAGAAGCCAAATCCCACCTGATATAAATCAATATAGTTTGATTGACTTCAGTGGACTTACGCTGACTTAAAGCAACTGAAGATCTAACCCGCTTCACTTATTTTGTACTCTCAACTCAGAAATGACTGATCGTACTTGAGAAGATGCTATGGTCAGTTATCACCAACCACTCTGCATTAGCTGCAGCATAAAGGGAAACAGACTCCTGCAAAATCATGACTGCCTTTACTGCAGAATTTATTTAAAAAAGAAAAAGTTAACGTTTGAAACAACAACTAGAGAAGTTGAGGTAGTTAACTCATGCATGCCCACCACATGTTCTAAGCTCTGATGTTATCCAGGATATTACTTCAAGTGCTTTGGAACTGGAAAGCTCTATATGAACTAATTATTTTAAATAGCCACACACAGCTTTAAAACCAGACTCTACTGCAACTTAACTTTTCTGGTTAAGTAAATTACACAGTAGAAAATTAAGTAACTGATGCCAGAACAGATGTGCCATGTTGACATTGGGGGAAAAAAAGACCCTTTTTCAGAGGCAAACACATAAACGGTTTAAATAGTTTTTGAGTCAAGAGGTGTCTCTGAAGTTCATCTGTGGAGACGGCGGGTTTCAGATTTTTTATTTGTTACAGATAAATCATGAAGGCAAAACCAGAAACCTACAACTACAAGGCCATAGAAACTATGACATCGTTACCACGAATCCATAAAATCCCCTCAAAATCATACTCACTTTGATTGAATTAGTGTCTCGGATGACTTTGTTAATGTCATTTGCCTCTCCATTAAGCTTCCAGGGGTTGTGTTGAAAAACAATACCTTCTCCAGCACAACTATATAAAGTTACAGAGGGCTGTTCACCGTCTCCTCCTGTCCAACAGAGAAAAAAAGCTAAATATACTATGTCTTCATCAGTCTGCCCAGAAGTAATCACTCCCACTATAAATCAAAACAGTGTTTTAAAAGACTATATAAATGCTTCAATTGCCTGTGATCCGGCAGCAAGAAATTCTCACAATACAATCCTCTGAAAGGCCCTCTCATTTCTCCCAACAGCTCTCTCCATAGCACAATCACTGCAAGCATTAAAATTCTCTTTAAGTTTGCTCCTTAAAAAAAATTCAAGTTGTGTAAGAAGAGCTAACGGAGCTGTTCTGTTTAGTTCAAATGGTAGAAACATACTTCTGGAGCTAAGGAACCCATATTTGATCCAACGCAGTTAAGAAAGCCTGTGCTGGTCTGTAACACCCTGAAGTAAGCACAGCGGTGTGGTACGCCACTCCCACCTATTTCTTGAAGCTACCAGAATTCAAAAACTGGAAGAGATTGTTTTGGTCCCTTGTGAAACTATGAACAATTCTTCAAGCAGAATGCATTCTTAGCTGCTAGAAAGGACTGCTACCAAGCAAACGGGGCTCCTTTTCCTAAGAAGGGAGGGCATACCAACTTCGTGGCATCTGCGTGCTCTGCACGGATGTCCTGCTTTGTCACAAGGCATTGGAAGACTCACCAGAAGACAGAGGAGGAGTCGGAGGCCCCCAGGCTAATGTGTATACAGTCTTCTTGTGGTAAGTACTGGAGATCTGAGGTGGCTTATTCTTAGCACTGGGCAGGAAGATAAAGAAGCAGGGGCAGTCAGATTTCAGCAAAGGGAAATAAAAAAAGAAAAAAAAAATAAAACCAACATATTTCCAGTGGTAAGAACAGACACCAGGTGCTTTAACAAACTAAAGCCATGGCTCAACCAAGCCTTCCTTAACATCTCCTGTAGGACACTACGAAAATCATAACAGAACTGTCCTGACCTTCACCTCCCTGTTGCTCTTCATTCTCTGAAAATGTCCTTCTGGCTAAAGTTTTTCTTGACTGATGCCCTCCCACAGGTGAACTCTGGTCATGCAATTTTAAGTTTTCCTTAAGTAAAGGTTACCTTAGAAGCTAGCAGACATAATGGAGAGATTAAAAGATGCACTGAAAATCCAACTGTTTGACTAGTTTTAATTTAATCCAACTCTTGTCTAACGGTAAAGTATGCCTCAGGAAAGACCACGCCACCTACGCAGGGGAACATAGCAGCAGGATCTGACACTAATGAATCTGAAAGCTACTTTCTTACCTGCTGGAGAAAGTGTCAAATATGCCAACTTTTCCATCATCTGTTCCAAACGCCAAGCAGCCTTCCTTAGTTGGATGCCAGGCTAACTGCAAGCAAAATAGAAAGAGACCCATAATGACACAAGCTACAGACACTTTATTTCTAAATAATAAACAAAAGGAAAGCACTGAAACCAATGAGCAAGCATCATCCCTTATACCCACCCTTCTAACTACAGCCACTTGATTTGATCACATCACTATGAGTATCAAAGGCTTTCCCTCTACCAGCCATCACGGGGTAAGATGAAAGGGACTAAAATCATTAAAATGCTATTTGACATCTACATTACAAAATAGAAATAGAGAATATTGTAGGATGATGAGAAAACTTGTGCATGTCAAACTTCCTAGCAGAGTAAGGGAAACCATGGATGACGCAAGGAAGGATCACAAAGGAAGACAAAAGTGAAAGAGTAATGTAACAGCCAGCTGGACTTCACCTGATTTTCACTAGAGGTAATGCAAGCATCTAGGGCTGTAAAAAGGTCTAAAAATTTGTTGCCAAATTCTAAAATGTATTGTATACGAAATGAATCAAGTACAAAAGGAACAGCTTGGCTTTATATATTTTTAGTTGGGAAAAACCTTCTTCAGAGTGAAAGAGAAAGAAAAATGTTCTTGAAAGAAAAAAAATGGAGTGAAAAGAGAAGAGACATGGAAAAGAAAAAGGGAATCAAAAGCACACTTACTGCTGTAACCTTGGACTTTATGCTTTGCCAGAAGGTTTTAACGTCATAAATATTGTTCATGGACAAAGTATTCCACACCCGGATCATGCTGTCTCCAACACCTATGGCAAGACAGCCTGTGTCCACAGGGGAGAAGGCAAGACTATAGACAAATCCCCCAAGCGAGGGCATGGTCCAGCTACAATCGAGAGTTGATAGGTCCCAGCACTTCACCTGAAGAAAATTTAAGGAACAAGGAATGGTTAAATGTAGAGTGACTACAGGTCTGACATGGAAAAACAAAGCACGAGTGAGACGGAAAATGGAAGGGTCAAATTCAAGGCTTGACATAGTATGCGATCTGCACCCAGAGGATTACATGTCACAGACAGGGCTGTAATAGTTGGAAGACTGTAATGGAATGGACAAAATGACTGTATTTTGATACTACAGTCCTCTTCTGACTTCAAAATAGGAGGCGCTCTGCTGTCTGTAAAAGGCAAAAAGTTAAAAAAAAACCCCAAACCTTTGGTTTGTACGAGTAAATGGTTTTAAGAAGGAAAAATAAAATGAAACATACAGGAAAAAAGAGACAGTAAGATCCTTTTACTAAATGCTCACCATTCAAGTCCAGAATGTCATGATCATTCACTCCACCATGGTAAGAGCTTGAGCTTATAAACTAACAAAAATCTACACAACCTGTGCTCAGAACAAATGTTAAGCAATGATGTTATGAAATGCTGCAATAAACCCACTTCAAGAGAAAATATGTGGCCCTAAAAGGGGTAGCCTTGCTCAGTTAAACTGTATAGGTACTGCTATTTTTATGTTAATTTTATAAATGGTTCTTACATCTCTGTCCATTGAAATGGAAAAAAGGAGCTCTTTGTCCTGATGCTTCACAGAACACAGATTGAAGACAATACGGGAGTGATTTTGTCCTTCTGAAGATCCTAGAAGTGTCCACTTGCGTTTTCCAGATTGGGTCAAATCCCAGAGCAGCAGTTCTCCTCTGCAAAATTTAAAGCGTGTACTTCATTGTTCACTTCAAAAGAATAATATAGGCTATATATAAACTATATTACATGTATACATGCTGCAAGTGCAAGAGTAATACAGCTAGACACACATCCACTCCATGTGCCTATACCAGATACACACACGCAAACACTACCCTACAAATGATATCCATAGTTAACCATGCTGAAAACTGACGTGTCATCTTCTCCCAGCAGATGGGCAAAACCACAATTAGTACCATTAGCAGTCAATACTCAGTTAGATTATCAGACAAATTATGGAACAAACAGTAGTTTTCTAGAAGTCTGAACTCCCACTTCAACTCTTGGCCTGTCTTCTCTCCAGTTATACTGGGAAGGAAAGAGGAAGGGGGCGTCAACGTTTCCTACCCAGTTCTTCCTTAAGTATTAATACATGAATCTACAGTTACTGACGGTCTGCAGGCTGCTGTGTGCCCTACTTACCCAAAACCGCTGGATACAATTTCTGTGGAACGACCAGGCGGCCAGTGAACAGTCAGCCAAATGCGCTCTTTAACAGCAGGATCAACAGCTCCACCTCTTCTCTTCGTGGGTGGCAACTTCAAAGTCATTACACCTAGGGAACCAAGAGGGATCACCTAAACCTAGTACATCCAAATCCTGAGAGAAAAAGAAGTCCTGTGAATCTGAAGCTTTAAGTACGCTCCCCATGCTTTAAACTACCAAGTTAGCAAACGAAGGCTGCAGTTAGAGAAGAGCTCTTCCACCATACTGTTATTTATCTCATGTTATTAATCTTACTTACTTCTGCCTCTAGTACAGCTCCATATTCGTATGGTCTGATCTTTGCTTCCCGAAGCCAGGTAACAACCTTTCTTCGTGGTTGTGTCCTGTGTCAGCTCCCCATTTGGAACTTCGCCTTCCTCTGAAGGAACTACTGAATACCATTGAAGTCACATTATTATACTTTGAAATTCAAAGCTTTATAAAAATTAACTGAAAACATATTGATTTGTATCAGAACATACTTTATTGAACCTATCGGTTGCCTCTGCTTAGCTACTTACTGACTTTCTGTAAGGAATTCAATTCTCTAGAAGGACATTTACATGAACTAAAAATCACAAACTATTAATCACTTCTACATACCTTGGAGCTCATCTTGCCAAGCAGGCAACCTTTCTTCACCAGGGACAGGGCACCAGGCCAGACAGTGTATTTCATCGTCATGGCCTCTTAGTCGATGAAGTACTTCTCTTTTCCTGCACTTCTCTTTCTCTGCTGATATCAATTATAACCACCATGCCGTCCTTGTAGCTAAAAAGAGAGATTTAAATTAACAAAGAGATTCTTGGATCCTTGTGGAAGAATATCTGACTCGATTTCCGAGCTCTTTACCAGGATCACCATCGCTGCGTTACAGCACGGAAGCCAAATCACAAGCAGCAATGGGACTAACAGACTAATGGTCAACAGGAGCTCCAGTATAGCACGGGTGTACCTGCAGCTGCCTTTTCAAGAAGTGCAAGCAGTACGTTTGGCTTCAAGAATGACAGCAATTCATCAGCAATACAGCTTTCAGTCAAGTCTAATTAAAACATAACAGTTTTAAGAAACTTCAAAGATGCAAAACAAACCTGGACCCTTATGCTGTTATGGATTTCTGTCTTGCAGGTCTATCAAATCTAAATGTTATTTCTAATTTGTTGTATACCAGAAGAAAAAAACAGCCACCAAAACCTCTTAAAATTAACCTTACAACTGTGTAGCAAAAATTCACAATAAGGTTCTTGCAGAAGAATGGAAATCAAACCGTAATGAATATTTACCCAATCGCCACCAGGTTTTCATGATGAGGAGAACAAGTGAGACAAAAAATTGTCCGAGGCTCCGGGAAGAACTGCTGGCTGTCACTCCTGTTGTGCCAGTAACAAACAACGATACCTTTCTCATCACCGGATACAATCAGATCTTTCACAAGAGGTGACCAGTGCAACGCCGAGATTGCGTTCTGAAGGAAGAGAATTGAATACATTTAAAGCTGTCTTACTGCCATCTAACACAGAGTAACAGGCAGAAAATAATCTGCGAGTGCTCCCCAGCATCAGCTCAGTTTGTAATACAGTGTTTCAGTTCTTTTGGGCTTTGGCACGATTGCGGTATTTGCCGCTACGGTATCCTGAGTCACAGTAACTGTTCAAATGTGTGTTCTTAGCCTGTCCTGTGTGGAACAATAACTTAGAATCATAGAACGCTTTGGGATGGAAGGGACCTTTGAAGGCCATCCAGTCCATCCCCCCTGCAGTGGGCAGGAACATCTACAACCAGATCAGGTTGCTCAGAGCCCCATCCAGCCTGGCCTCGAATGTTTCCAAGGATGGGGCATCTACCGCCTCTCTGAGTAACCTGTTCCAGTGTTTCACTGCCTTCATTGTAAAAAATTTCTTCCTTATATCTAGTCTGAATCTACCCTCTTTTAGTTTAAAACCATCACCCCTTGTCTTGTTGCAGCAGGCCTTGCTAAAAAGACTATCCCCATCTTTCTTGTAGGCTCTCTTTAAGTATTGAACGGCCGCAATGAGGTCTCCCCGCAGCCTTCTCTTCTCCAGGCTGAACAACCCCAACTCTCTCAGCCTTTTCTCACAGCAGAGGTGCTCCATCCCTCTGATCACTTTTGTGGCCTCCCCTGGCCCCGCTCCAACAGCTCCATGTCCTTCCCGTGCTGAGGACCCCAGAGCTGGACGCAGGGCTCCAGGGGGGTCTCCCCAGAGTGGAGCAGAGGGGCAGAACCCCCTCCCTCAAAAACTTGCTGAAAAGATTTTAAGCGAGCTGGGTTGGAGGCAATGAGCGCGCACTGCAAACATACTTGCTTACTGAGGCTTTGATGTTACCCAACAGCTTATTAAGGCGATGTAGCAACGCTGCAGCCCTAAGGCTGGAACAAAAACGCTGGCCAGAAGCATTCAGCGGCTTTAATTTCACCGCGTTTGAAAATCACCTTTGCTAAAGTAACATCGCCCTGCTTTGTGTGCAAGACTTAAAAGCACCCCCGCCCCCCGAGCCCTCTCCGTCTCACCCTCTCGGTGCCGCGGCTCCCCACCTGGTGCAGGCCGGGCCCCGCCACCGGCGCCAGCCCCGCCGTCTCCCAGATTTTGACGCTCCCGTCGTCGGAGCTGCTGGCGCAGAGGCTGCTCTGCCCGGGGCACTGACAAAAGGCGAACCCGGAGATCCTGTCCGTGTGCCCGATGAGCTCTCCTGCACCGACAGCAAGAGACACCGCGGCGGGACCCTCGGTGAGCGCAC